CGATCTAGGTAATTTACTCTATTCTAGGAAACGGCAATGGTGACCGAGAGATTTTATTGATAAAGTAAGGTGGACGAGAGAGAGAGCAATGGTTAGCTCTGTAAGGGATATAATAGCTAAGATAGAAAAAAGTTATGTGTGTGTAGAGAGATCTCAAGAGGTATTAAGGAGTGTCATCTCATGTAGAGAGAATTTACAATTTATAGACACAGAGCCTTGATTAAGGTGGTAACGTGAGGACAAAAATACTAATTCTCTTGGTTGTTACAAAAAGATAAGTGACATAAAAGATTGTCTTGATATTTGAGAGTGGGTATCCCGATAATTACTCTTTACGTGCTCTAATTCTTCTTAGACTCTTTGGATCTTGGGTTGATTTGAATTTACAAACTAAGCATGACCTATTTTTTAGCTAATTTGAACTTACTTAATTTATTAAGCCTGACCAAATTGAATGATGGAATGTCAAAATCGATTGTTTGATCTTTTGGTTGACAAAATGTTGAGAAAACCAAGACTTGTGAGTGGGTGTTTATTCTTCATTTGTCATTGACTTTAGTAAATGAGCTTTCAAGTTCGACACCATTTTATTGAGTTCGACTCGGACTTGTCAAGCTCAAATTGAATTTGAATAAACTTAAAATGAGCCGAATCTAAGTATTTATACATACACGAGTCGGATTTGTCGAATTCGAGTTGAGCCTGTTGAACTCGTTTTTTAAATGAGCCTAAAAAATTATTTAAATTTGACTTATTTATTCGTTTTCTAAACGAACAAATCCTGAACGAATCTAAAACAAGTCGAATACGATCGATTTCAAATAGTTCGATTCGATTATCAACCCTAGATAGAATTGTCTATCAATTATTTATGTCAAACGCTCTTCAAAGTCAAAAAACTTGTGATTAAATTATTTGAATTGCTTGCTTGAAATTTTTAGTTTGGATTATATTATTTAGAATTTGCTTTTTATGGATTAAATTAAATTATTCAGAATTTTCTTCTTGTGGATTAAATTTTCTATTAAATTTATAGGGCTTTTGCACTTTATACCCCAAAAGATATCTTAATTCTTACTTTGCACCCTAAATGATTATTTTTTTCACATTACACCCTAAATATCATAAATTAATTTAAATGTGACCCTCCAACTAACATCAATTTCATATTCTTGTAAAAATTGGTGCAGATGCCATTCATTTGTGTTGTCCTTGGGAAAAAATATAAACTTACCATTTATATTCTTGGATGATATGTAAATCAATTTTTAACGGAATCTGAAATAGATGTTAGTTTGAAGGTCACATTGAAACTAATTTATGATATTTAAGGTGCAATGTGAAAAAAATAATCCTTTGGGGTTCAAAATGAAAATTGAGACATCTTTTGAAGTGTGAAGTGCGAAAAACCCAAATATGTATGGCAGTAATGTTCGGAGCATAGGTTTTAGGATTCCACCGAAAATGATTAATGTTGACTCGAGTGTTGCTGTTGGGGGCAGACCGATTATTTAGCTGGGTTCATCCTAGGACCGTTTGTCGATGGGTTTGGGCTGGCGCGGCCAGATTCTAAACCTAACCTAAGTCCCATGACAAGGAAATCTTAGGAGAAGGGCTACCCGATGGGCGATGGGAAAGTTGCTGGCTTGTCGATAGCCCAATTCAATAGCTAACTAAGATCGTTTGTCGGTGGATAGGCCTGGCCCGATCGGCCCATCCTACCCATACCCAAGTCCCATCACAAGAAATAGTTATCCAAGTTGTAAAGAAAGCATGCCTGTATTCTAAACCCATAACTCTCTCTCCCTCTCTCTCTCTCTCTCTCTCTCTCTCTCCATCGTTGGCGACAGTGATATACACAAACTCTCTTTTCTTCGGTTAGTTCACAAACTCTGACCTTCCTTGCTCATTAGTGTCGCAACACAGTACTCCGACTAGTCTGCGGCCAAATATATACCGTAGGTAAACCTCTCTCTCTCTCTCTCTCTGGATTCGTTTCCAAAACCCTTTTGTCCGGAGTTGCTAGTATTTTGGGAAATAAGAAAAACGGATGATCTTCCCGATGTAATTTCCAATTTTCTCATATGTATAGCAATATATACTTATTGTTCATATTATTTTCATCTATTATATATAATGCATCCTGCGGAAGTTCTTTTTTATTTGCTGCAGTTAATAATGATCAATTGTACTAATTGTCTGACTTCTGTGTTTTTTAATGACTTTGCAGTTGAATTGACTGGTGTAGAATGGGAAAAAAAAGGGAAGGAGCTAAAGAAGGATCATCGACAAGTTATATGAATCTGAATGGCCAAAAAATGGACATCAAGTCCATAATGGAAGATATCAAGCATTTGGGTAATTAATTTTTCCCTCTCGTACTACTCCCATTAAATTGATTTGTTTGTTTTTGAATATTCGAAATTCATGTTCATATATGATATAACATAGCCAATGTAAACTGAACTTGTGAGATATATAGATTATGCGCTGGTTTTCTATTAGTCGGACAGTAAATAGCTTGTTAATTTACACAAATCTTCCTTGCTAGTAAAATTAATTTCTTTGCATTATGGTCTATGTTATAATTTTGTTACGAATATATGGGGGGGATATTTTTTGACATACAGAAAAGTTGTGTTCTTTTTGGGGAGGGGGGATTTTGGAAAATTAGAAGACATTGGGCGAGGCGAACTCCTTGTCAGGATCACTTCATATATTTTTATCAAACTAAAGGACTATCCAAACCTAAAGGAGGCGGTTGCTTCCATCTACTCCCCCTTGCCTTTTTAAAATCCATTGTCTTGTTTTTTTGATTGCATGCAATTCACCTCTTTCGCCCCTAATATGTTATACTAGCACATAACCAATTATGCTAAAATGACTTTCTTTTAGTAAAACTTCATATGTTGCTTTTGTGCTTCACCCCTCTTAAGGATTTATTACTTCGTAGTTCGTATAATTTGCACGTGACATGTAGCTACGCTGGAGATATATTTATCCATCTATATTGTACATAGTCATTCAATGTAATAAAGATGTAGGACATTCTGCCAAAACAGTTGCATCAAGGGCTCAATCTGAGACAGTGTATTGACTGGGATTCCTAGCTGACACATGCATCTTTTTTCATTTCTAGAAAATGAATTCTAGTGAATTTAGAAAGCTGATAACCGCATCACTTGTCTATATTTCGGGGCCACTGTTTTACTAGACCAATTCTTGTTCTTTCGATTAGTTTATAATAACTTAAGCCCCATCCCAAACAAAACACTGATATTAAATAAAGCTTAGATGAAATATAACTGTGGGAGAGTGCTTACTACTCAACCTAAATAACTTTCAATGTCTTCTAATACCGGTCTCTAACTTAAGAGGAATTATTTTCACTCAGCAGATTGTCAATATGCATGTGACGGAAGCTTCAGCTTCTAAGAACATCCAAAATACTATTGTCAGCTTGACATCAACACAGTGACCTTGACTAATTAGTGTGGGACCATGTAACTTGCAAGTTGCAACACAGTTTACAAAACAAAACCATAGAGCTAGACTATCTGTAGATTGTCGATTAAATTATGGATATCTTTGCATGATATTCTAATATCTGAGTCGTGGGTTAGGATCTAGGCCTACAACATCTTTTTTTCCTTTTACAAATTATTTATTTTTTGTTTTGGGGTTGGGTTGGCTAGCCCCCGGTTGTGTAGCTTATTGTCACGATTGCGAATCTTTCTTTTGAGTCTTTGATTTCTACTTAAAACTCTCGAATTTTGAACCATCTAAAATGATTTGGAAGTCCCAAGCACCATTAAAGGTCCAAGTTTTGCATGGCTACTTGCACATAAGAAACTTAATGCTAATGAGATGATCCAGAAAAGAAGGCCTTCAATTTGTTTTTATCTTCAATGGTTTATTATATGTAAAAGTGTGGAAGAATGAATTGCCCATTTATTTCTTTATTGCCCAATGCCTGGTACCTTTACATTTATGGAGTAGGCTATTGTCCTATGTTGAGATCCATTGGGTGATACAACAAATATGTGAATTGGTGTATATCATAAAGTTCGTAGTTCTTGGCTCTAGTATTAGAGATAAAACTTCATAGAAAAATGCGATGTTGACATTGTTTTGGGCAGTTTGATTGGGAAGAAATGGAAGAATTGTTGGAAAAGTGGTTGTTTCCATGGATGAAAGGTTGGAAAAAATTTCTTTTTCGGCATCACTATGGACTTCAACTTCAGAAGAATTTGAAAACTCTTTTTTATTAAAGATCATTGGAAATGAGTTTGTGAAGAACTTTGAGAATGTCCCATGTCCATTTTGGTCCTTTGTTTCTCTTATGCTGTTGATTTTCATTTGTAACAATTGTTGACCACTTGTCCTCCGTTGTTCCATATTTTTATTATTAATAGATCTCATTGGTTTACAAAGGGAAAAAAAAAGAGAAAAAAAAGAATTACTTGTAAATGAATCCAATTAATACAACATAACTTGTTGAAAAATTTAATATGATTTCTTACTCAAATTACTTGTGCAGCTGTGCCTCTTGTTTATTGATATTTATTTTATGCTTTTAAGATATCTGGGGCTTTGCCATAGTAATATCAATAGAGAATATGTTATTTTTTTTTTTATATGAATTGCCGACTAGAGGCTCAGTTGGCATATCTTTCCATGGTGGAAGTGCTTGATGATAAACATTTCTACAAGTGCATATATAAATTCAGAAATAGCCGGAGATTTTGGTGGTTTGAAAATTTTTCATTGTGTTGCTTTTTGTTTTATATACATTGTGTCGAATTCTTTGGTTTTTAGCCTCACATAAGAAGTATGGACATGGATATCGGACACAGATATGACATGACACACGCCTACATGAATTTCTTCAAAATAGTATGACATGGACAAGTTGTGGACATGGTGAATATCATGTATTATTTTTTTCACATATATATGATCATATTGTAAAATAAAAGTATCTTAGTAATAATCATTTAATTTTTCCTGTCCTAACTCTAACAATTCACATCACGAAATCATTTAATAAAAAATAAAATATCAGATATTGATACACATTCATATAACATCCATGATCTAGCAATGAATGATTGCTACAATTTCAGTGTTAAAAAATATACCACCTCTTAACTATGAGGCTCATATATCTGTCATGTTTTCTCGAACGGCGCACAAGTTTTCCAACGTCCAAGACAAATTATCTTTTAATTGCTCTGTGATGTTACAGTTAGTGCAGTTATAATATGGTTGACCATTACAGGGAGATCTTGATGAGAACAGTAACCAAGCAAATTCTCATGATCAGAAATGGTAGAGACCTATTGCAGAAAAAGGAGAACTTTCTGAATCCATCAAAGTGTATTTCGAAATTTTGTGCAATTAACCAAAAGCTAATATATACTTGAACAACTGTATTGAATTGACAATTATGACTAAATTCACAATAAAGTTTTCTTTTTATGCTTAACTTTTGGCTTCCTGTAGCTCTAGTTTCTCCCAGAAGACAATTTTAATTTGTTGCATTTTCATTGTGCTTTTTTTTTTTCATGGTAATTTTCACTGGTTTATATGGAGCTATTTCAGGCTCCTCTCATTTGACATGGAAAGAGAGGAAAGAATTGGAAAACAGGAAGGTGGTTTCCCTTGGTGGAAAGGTGAACAATATATGCTCTTTGCTCAAAATTTTGAGATAGGTACAGCTAATATTTGTAGCAGACTTAAAACTTTGTCATCATCAAGTTTGTTTTCCTTCGGCACAGGCTCCCAAGAACCCAAGGTTGCCGCTAAGCGTGGCAAGAGTAATGATGAAGAAACAAAAGGAAAGGGAGCAGAAAATGCTACAAGAGGTTGTTAATGTGTTCCTCTGTCTGTCTTACTAGTTACTGCTACTATATTTGATTTTGTACTTTGCAAAATTTGAGCTGCTTATTGTAATACATTTGATAGAGTTCGATACTCGAACGATTTCGAGGAAAGCTTGGTAGTAGAAAACCAATAGAGAAGCGCAAGCCCGAGGACAGAGTGCTGAAGTCAACTGAAGGTAATTTCAGAAATGGTGTGCTTGATGTTAAACATTTATTACGACCAGCTGGACCTAGAGAGAGTGATAACTGCAGCCATGGAGGCAATAAAGGGAAGAAGAAAAAGGGTGGTAAAAAGAAGGGAGGAAAGAAGGGTGGTGGTAGAAAGCACCGGTAAAAACATCTGAACTGAAAGAAATGAGTAAGTCAGGAAGCAGATGAGATCAACCTTTTTACTCCTTGCTTCTTTTCATATTTTATTGTCTCACTTGCTACAAGAAAGCTAACCTTTTCACTCAAAATAAGATTGTCTCAAATATTCTCTCGTTGCATTTACATTAACTCAAGGGTTTTGAGAACTATCTTACATATTACATCGCCTATTTTGTTTCGTTATCAGTCCTTGAGTTGTGAATTGTGATGCATCTGATTTTGTCTGTGTACAGCTGAATGCTTCCTGATATTTTGNCATTGTGCTTTTTTTTTTTCATGGTAATTTTCACTGGTTTATATGGAGCTATTTCAGGCTCCTCTCATTTGACATGGAAAGAGAGGAAAGAATTGGAAAACAGGAAGGTGGTTTCCCTTGGTGGAAAGGTGAACAATATATGCTCTTTGCTCAAAATTTTGAGATAGGTACAGCTAATATTTGTAGCAGACTTAAAACTTTGTCATCATCAAGTTTGTTTTCCTTCGGCACAGGCTCCCAAGAACCCAAGGTTGCCGCTAAGCGTGGCAAGAGTAATGATGAAGAAACAAAAGGAAAGGGAGCAGAAAATGCTACAAGAGGTTGTTAATGTGTTCCTCTGTCTGTCTTACTAGTTACTGCTACTATATTTGATTTTGTACTTTGCAAAATTTGAGCTGCTTATTGTAATACATTTGATAGAGTTCGATACTCGAACGATTTCGAGGAAAGCTTGGTAGTAGAAAACCAATAGAGAAGCGCAAGCCCGAGGACAGAGTGCTGAAGTCAACTGAAGGTAATTTCAGAAATGGTGTGCTTGATGTTAAACATTTATTACGACCAGCTGGACCTAGAGAGAGTGATAACTGCAGCCATGGAGGCAATAAAGGGAAGAAGAAAAAGGGTGGTAAAAAGAAGGGAGGAAAGAAGGGTGGTGGTAGAAAGCACCGGTAAAAACATCTGAACTGAAAGAAATGAGTAAGTCAGGAAGCAGATGAGATCAACCTTTTTACTCCTTGCTTCTTTTCATATTTTATTGTCTCACTTGCTACAAGAAAGCTAACCTTTTCACTCAAAATAAGATTGTCTCAAATATTCTCTCGTTGCATTTACATTAACTCAAGGGTTTTGAGAACTATCTTACATATTACATCGCCTATTTTGTTTCGTTATCAGTCCTTGAGTTGTGAATTGTGATGCATCTGATTTTGTCTGTGTACAGCTGAATGCTTCCTGATATTTTGTGCATGCATTATATCCCCTTTTTCATTTTTGGGGGTGTAATGTGTTTTTTTTTTTTCATTTTTTATTTTGGGGGTGTGGAGTATCCAATGGTTGGCCTAACGCATGGGCCTCGGTGATAGATAGCCTCCTATGCTTTCTATCTCCCATCCATTGTAAAAGCTGCCCTGGATGTGTTTAAGGACTCTCATCTTCTAGGCTACTTGGAATTTAACGAAGTGAGTATGTTTTTTTTGGGGGAAAAATCATTTTTTTGTCGCCATTTTGCATTAAAAAAATTTGCACTCAAAAGTAATGTACTTTGAAACTGAAAAGAGTGAATGGACACAAATCTCTCAATATGTGGCATAGTCAATAGTACTTGGATCATGGATCGATTTGCTATGTGTTACAGTAATGGGTACGTGGTATAGTACATTTTTTGATATGTAGTATAATGAGGGTAGGCTTAGTTGGTATGTTGTTTTGGGTTGTGATTCATTTTCTATAGGATCACTTTCTCTATTATTTGAGATTAAATATAATTATACCTTCATATGCACGTAATTAATTAGTATTTATTTTTGGGTTTGATTTATAATTTGGGGTCAAGTTTGGGTCATACAAACCCAGTACGTGGGATATTGATATTCTATGGTCCTAGTCCCTTGCATTCATATTTCTCGTAACCTCTTTGGCAAATTCAATGCCATTAGGGAAGGTGATTGTCTTTATTAGCCTATTTAAGCTAATGTGCATACAAATAAACCTTTGCAAAGAAGTACAAAAATTTTCAAGAAGGTGAGGTATCCCCATCGGACACGGGTCGGACACTGATACTTCTTTGACACACTTGGACACATGTTGGATGCTCTTTTAACCGTCTCCATGATTAAAAAATAAAACCATAATTTTGGACACGCGCCGAATACACCTTTAGTCAAGTGTAGGACACTTCTTAGGTCTTATCTATGACTAAAAAGAAACTTGTGTCGACATATAATAAACAAACTTGAAAACTTTGACAAATGACTATCTTATACCACAATATATAATGATCTAGATCAATTATGTTAAGATTTACGTAATATAAAATTGTAAAAGTTCATAAAAGTTTTATTTGAGAAATGGACTTGAGAAAATGCAAGCAATCATGATAATTGCTCGTGTCTCTATATTTTGTCTATGAAAAATTAGTGATCATTATGATCCATTATTCTAAAACATCACACTAGAGCACTTGACATAAAATTTAGTTATCATATAGTATTGATTCCCTTATATACTGTTTATTACTATAACTATACTATATGTAGTGTACTGCGTTTTGGACGTGTGTGTATCTTACTTTTTGGAGAAATGTTGTGGCCACATGTATGTATCATGTTGTGTCGTATCCGTGTCTGTGTCTGTGCTATGGATTCTAGTCCTTTGATGTACTGCAATGCCTCCTTATTCAGTGAAATTTATGAGAACATCAAAATCTAATTCTACTATGATTGAATTCTACTATGATTGAACTGTGTACCTTTGGTGTGGTTAGATTGTTAGCTTTTCTGGTTGCACATGACTTTGTTTCAAGGGGAGAGCAATTGATGTTGGATAGTTGTGCAAAATTAAATCCGGTATTGTTTAGGGACTGTGAACAATAACAAGGCTATGAACAATGAAGTGAATAGTAAGTTTGACTAAGAATCACTCCCTGGGTTAGAATTATATCACATAACTCAAAAAACATATAATTGCTAAATTTTTTTGAAAATCTCTTTATTCTATTATTAAAAACTTCATTAACTATATATAAAGCTCTAAATATTCTTAATCCTAAAATATTAGAATTCTAAAGTCTCTAGGACTCCAAAAACTAATATAACTAGGACTAAATTTTAGAATATCCAACACTAGAATTTGACCCAAAAGGTGATCCATGGGATTATGGCCCGTTCCAGCAAATTTGGAAATTTCAAAATACCATCGAGCCTAAAAAAATGAACAAAAAGACACCTAAATTATTGAATACCTGCAAACTAAGTTAATGTAATTAAAAATAAGACTCAAATAAAACTATGCAACTAAAGTTTCATATGAGACTTTGGGCTTGTGTTGGAGCTAGTTTTTTTTGGTGAAAAGTTGCAATTTGAAAAGCTTTGCAAAAAGGTCAAAAGTTAAAAAAATTCCCTAAAATCGTTTGGAGTGTTCTTTAAAATGTTGAAAAAATTCGTTTAGAGTGACTTTTTAGTTTTTTTGTCTTTTTGTGTCAAAATAAAAAAATATTTACATGAATGTATAGATCATGTATAATAGTTTCCAAAATATGAATTTTTTTTACGTCAATAATAATATTTTATGAATATAATAAACAAAAAAATTATGTGGGACCTGCGACAAACTCCAAATAGTCTAAAGAAATGTCCATAAAATCAGCTTCTTGAATCAACCTAAATAAGTGCTTTAGGTCCAAAAAGCTACTGCATAAGCTGGTGCAAAAGCCAAGGTCTAGACGGACTTTGCTTATTTTACTTCAAAGCGTACAAAATCAACCTATTTCAGCCAGCTCCAAACAGACCATTTATCTTGGTGATTAGCCAAATTTCATAGTTCGTCGTGCCTTTGAATTTGTCTCGTCTTGATCATCTTAATAACTACATTATTCTCCCATAGTTGGAGGAAACTCGACCTCTTAAGTATAACATCCCAAAAGTTTTGAACTTGCATATGTAGATGTTTGTGAGAAGTTTTGAGATGACGCCTTCTTTTCTTCTTGAATTGGGTAAAAAGAGAAATCTTTTGAGATTGATTTCTCGATTGTGACAACGAAATTTTGTAGAATAACAAACTCAATTGCTGGAGCAAAGTAGAAAGAAAGAACTTCTTTGAACTGACGTTGAAAATGAAGCCTAATTGTGGGCCTTCCATTGTAGCCTTTTCTTCTTTTTGTTCATTTAAACTTGTAGTTATAGTTTTTGATTCCATCTTCCACCTCTTTGTTTATGGTGATATCTTTTTTTGTTGTAGCCTTGATATTCTCTTGAGCACTATTAGAATATGGTAGCATTTGTGGCTCTTTATGCTTTATTTAGATTCTTGATGGATGCAAAATAATCAAGCACTTGAGGCACCAATGTTACGAATTGAAATTCATCGATGGGATGAATTTCATTAGACAACTCTTTTGGCACTATTTCGGGGCACTCAGACATTAACTTTGTTTTGTCTGAAAGCAAATTAATTCAGTACTAGTTGCTGGTTTTTCATCCTCTTAGGCTGCATAGAATAAATACTGGGTATTCATTTTTTACCTTAGCCTTTGGACAAGTAAGTAGCGGAATTGCTTTGGATTGTGTAGGTTCTACTTGATCTACTTCAACTTGAATTATCAGATCACTTGTTGCTTTGGGCTGCCTTTGATGGTCCTTCTCTTGTTGCACATCTGACATCGCACCACCATTGGGTTGAGTGGTTCGACCTTCTAAATCACTTAATCGAATTGAGATATTGAGTTGCTCTCAAATTCGAAAAAGAATCTCATCTCATTGTCCATCTGTCAATCGCCCACGAAACAATCTTCTCAAATGTGTAGACATGTTCGATCCTCGCCCTTTGATACCAAAACTGATGTAGGACAACGGTGCAAAATCAAATATGGTACTATTTGGGTCTGTGAAGTGTGAACAGTGACGTAAATAGTAAATTTGACTAGGAATCATTCACAGAGTTCCTTAGGCATCACACATAGGGTTACTTAGGCATCACACAGAGAATTTTTTTTGGAATATTTTTTTCTATTATATTATTGAAAACATCACTAACTATATATAGAGCTATAAGTATTCTTAATCATAAAAATTAGGATTTCAAAGTCTTTACGACTCCAGAAACTTTAAAAACTAACACATACTAGAGTTAGGACTCTAAATTCTAGAACATCCAACATTAGAATTTGACCCAAAAGGTGACCCACGGGTCAGACCATGACCGGTTCTAGCAAATCTAAAAATATGAAAAAAGACACATAAGTGACTAAATTCCAACAAACTAACTGAAGGTTCTTTCCAAAAACATATTTTTGGATACTTTTTTTTGAGATACAATCCAAACACACCCTAACATTTTCATTCGTTTCCTTGAATTCAATTTTTTAGTTTCCTTACAAACATTTCTAGTGGACACTATAAATTGTGCTTGGTCTTGGAGCAAGATTCTTCAACTCAGGAATTGAGTGAGTGGTTCATTAAATAGCAGGTAGATGGTAAGGATACTACTCTCTGGTTTGACTTCTTGTTGGCAATAGGTTTTATTATGTCAGCTCTGCCTACATATCATATTAGAGTTGCCTAGAAATTCTGCCGCATTGTTGATGGAAACCAATGGAATTGGCTACATTTCAGTTCAAGAAGGGAGAGAGGCTCATGGTTGCCTTCTTCCATTGGTGACTTAAACACAATCTGCCTGGGAGGCTGTTAGAAACTCCCAAAATCCGAATTGTTTATTTTGTAGGTTCCAAATTGAAACACATGATTACCTCTTCTTTAACTGCCTCTTTATGTTTCAGGTCTGGCGGGTCTGTCTTAGATAAGAGTGGTATTCAGTGGCATCAGAGATCTTGGGAAGAAACTGCTACTTAGGTTATGTAGAAGTTCAAATGTAGTACCATGGCGGTTTTGATTTCGTTCTCTCTTTCAATTACTCCTTCGAATGAGGGCAATCTGGTGAGAATGCTCCCCTTCCTTGTTTTGCTGTACTTTGTTTGATGTCTTGGCATGTGTTGCTGGCCTGGTGTTCTTATGTATATGTCCTCCTGTATATTCCCTCCTTTTTGATCCGTATTTTTCTACTTTACCAATCTGGAAAATCCCACAATTCAGCAAAATTTTAACGTAATGATTTTCATGTTCTTTAGTGCCCTAGCCACCCAAATTATAATCCAAACGAAAGTGACAAACATCTGCACCACAAAATAATTTATACAAAAGCTTTCTGTAAAATAATATCTGTAATGTTAGTGAATATTTGATGTAATTGGAAAATACTGAATGAACAAAGAAAAATGCAGCCTCATTCAAATACATAACTCATGTGAAACCAATAAAACTTGTAATTAATACATATCCAGCTGACTGGAAATTCAGCAAAAACTGTGTTACCAAATGCTCAATTAAAGAACTTATAATTTTCTTCTATTTCATAGAGACTTAACCGGGTATAAATTTACTCACGCATATATATTGTATTCTGCCAAAAATTTTCCAATGGAACATGATCAACCCAATTATAGAATAAGTAGCGAACTCATAATTCCAATTAGGATCATAATCTCTGTAAAATACTCTGATTTTGAATATGAGTTGGTCTCATTTGGGCTCCTGCAAGGATATAACAGTTTCAAAGGCCCCGGCCAGTGCTTTTACATTGTTTTTCTTCTGCTCTCGAAGCTTGCTAGCAGTCTCTTCAATCACATCGTTGTATGCTGGAGACTCCTTCTTCCCTTGACCACCTTGGTGCTTTGGTACCACATTCTCCTCTGGCTTTACCTCCTTGACATTGTTTTCCCATTCTTCTATTTCCTTGGAATTCAGATTTTGGCTCTCTTCATCAACAGCTTGCTTCTCTTCCAATGTTTTTTCTCTCTCTTCTCCTACCCTCCATTCATCCTCTATTTGGGATTCACCTGTATAGCTCTCCTCTTGTTTACCATTGTTATCGTTCTCATCTTTGTTCTGGTCTTTTACTTCATGATGGTGACTGCCAGTTTCCTCATAATGTATTTTCTCTTCTGGTTCTTCCATCTGAACACTTAGAGATTCATTTTGATCTTCTGAAATAGAATAAACTTCACAAACCTCGACTTCCTCACCTTCTTGACTCTCCACTACAGATTGTACAAGACCTGCATGATCTTTATCTTCAAGTTTTAATATTTCTGCCGGCATTTCAGTGTTGCTCTCATCATGTAACATCTGTTCTCCAGCTTCAGTGACCGAATCTTCTTGCTGGGATTCAAGCTTTTTTGCAGTATTGGCTATATCAGTTGAATCAAGCACATCAGGAGAACCAATACTTGGAACTTTTGTTGTCAAAGCAATACTTGGATTGATTTCCTTCTTAGTGATAGAGCTAGTCTTTTTCGCACTTGCAGGTTTTGCGTATATGGAGTGATGTTTTCCAACTTCCTTAGGTGTTTTAGACAATCTCTCTGGGTGGGGTTTTGGCAAATTGGTGGTTCTAGCTGAAAAAGACGAAGATCGGAGAGGCAAGGCCCTAGGACTGAGAGAAGGTTGTGGTTTTTGTAGTCGAATAGGTGAGGGAGGCTTGTCAAAGGATCTTCTTCTGTTGAGATTGGGTCTGGTGGTATCATTGGAGCCTTGTTTTCTGGGAAGTTGCTTAGAATTAGAAGGATCAAGGGTTGAGCTTTGGGTTGGTTTGAGATAATTTGGAATCTGTTTCTCTGAAGCAGCAGCATGCTTGTGATCAGGAGAGGTTCTAGTGGATGAGTTAGGGCTTCTTCTGCGCTGCGTGGTGTCGGTTTGACGTGGATAGGAAGGAGATATTCCCCTTTTCTCCTTTCCCTGAACAGTCTCCTTTCCTTTTGTTGCCATTGATGGCTAGGAACTCTAGAACCTGCATTCAGGTTGGATAAAGTGAATCTATGTCTATGATTTTGTGTGTGTCAGAGAGAGAGAGAGAGAGAATTCACTATTTGAACATCAAAAGAAAATCGAGCTTCCACTTAATTGGAGTGGATGGAGAGTGACACGAGCTTTGAACCCGCGACTTGAAGGTTGTGGTTCAACAACGGGGTGGTACCTATTAGGCCAACCACTATTCAAACATGGTAAAACGCACACTCACGAGCACACACACACACGTCTTTTACCATGTAGATTTATTCCCAAATAGGCGACACAAAAAATATACTTATAAAAAAAGGGAAGAATTTACCAATTTATGTAGGAGAAATTTAATTAGAAGAATCAAGGATGGTCAACTTGGTTAGATCGAGTAAGTTAAAAAGTCATCCCTTGAGCACATCAAATTAGCCCACTCCTTTCTCGTTGCATCCCCTTTTTGGAATTAACAATTCAAAATATAAAAAAACTGATCAGTTGCATAAAATTCTCGTCATTGCACAATTTCATAAAGGTTTAGTATATACAAAATTATTTTCGTTAGTCAAGCCTAGTTACTTACATAGTGAACAAATTACCTCCGAATTAAACTCTTTTTCATCCATCTTGATTCATGTTTCTAATTTTTTGCTGGGACTTGGATTGTGTTCATAAATCAAACGAAAGAGGTCAGAATAGGATGAATTCTACTAATTTGAAAGGGTTACACCATACAATGCCCCAATAATCTATTATNCGAACAAATTACCTCCGAATTAAACTCTTTTTCATCCATCTTGATTCATGTTTCTAATTTTTTGCTGGGACTTGGATTGTGTTCATAAATCAAACGAAAGAGGCCAGAATAGGATGAATTCTACTAATTTGAAAGGGTTACACCATACAATGCCCCAATAATCTATTATCGAATAATTTTTTTTGATAAAAAATGTTATATATGGTACACGCAATTTGCTTGTAACAAGGTCTAAGAGAGAGAGAAGTTAAAAATAAATATATATTTATATTTGTAAAGGGTTTTAAGATCCGAATTCGAAACACACCACTTAGATTTTTGAACACTTATCGTCGCTTCAAATCCAACTTTGTCTAAATTGGTAGGGTAAAAGTGGAGTCTAGGTTTTGAACTTTCAAACTCCCAAAAGTTAAAGAATCGAATGTCTTATGTAGTTTAACTTGGCATGCCATCATAAGATTGTAGGATATGGCTAACTTTTAAAAAAGAATGTTATATCATGAGTGTTATCAAAGACTAATCCTTCTAGATGGGTAACTCAACATTTATGTGAATAATCTTAGAAGGGAAATACTCTGCATCTCAAATTTACGATTTCAATTAAATTCTAAATGAATATAGACTCTTGAATTAGCGAGTTATACTGAAAAAAAATTATAAGACCTACTAATCCAAAGGTCTAGAGTCTATTTGGAATCTCAAATTTGAGATGTCCAGCATTGCTTCCATCAAAAAGGAGGTAAACTAATATGAGTCATTGCCTGACAGATCCTATAGTTTTTTTTTTTCAACAGTCAGGAATATTTAATCAAATTTATGCACATTTCGACTAAGTTCCTCTCCAACTTGATAAAAGATAGACTATTCACGTCAAGATTAGAGAATTTATAAAGAATAAATTTATGACCAGCTCAATGGTAGAGCCAAAAAATCATGGGCTTTTTAGGCCCCACATATAAAAAAGACCTTAAATTTTAGAGTTCAACAATGAAATATAAATCAAAGATTAAAATTTATTATAATTTAGCTTAATAAAAAAAACTCATGAAATATTAGGTCAACAAAATAAAATTTAAAATTTAGGTTAAAAAGCACAGTCCACCTCACATATACACATTTATGAAGGACGAAAAAAGGTTAACATTTCGATAAAAAAAAATATAACAAGCATTTCTCTCTCTTCCACAAATAAAAATAAATCAAACCCATTTTTTATTTCTCTGAAACTCAATTTTATTCTCATTTAAACNTGCCTGACAGATCCTATAGTTTTTTTTTTTCAACAGTCAGGAATATTTAATCAAATTTATGCACATTTCGACTAATTTCCTCTCCAACTTGATAAAAGATAGACTATTCACGTCAAGATTAGAGAATTTATAAAGAATAAATTTATGACTGGTTCAATGGTAGAGCCAAAAAATCATGGGCTTTTTAGGCCCCACATATAAAAAAGACCTTAAATTTTAGAGTTCAACAATGAAATATAAATCAAAGATTAAAATTTATTATAATTTAGCTTAATAAAAAAAACTCATGAAATATTAGGTCAACAAAATAAAATTTAAAATTTAGGTTAAAAAGCACAGTCCACCTCACATATACACATTTATGAAGGACGAAAAAAGGTTAACATTTCGATAAAAAAAATATAACAAGCATTTCTCTCTCTTCCACAAATAAAAATAAATCAAACCCATTTTTTACTTCTTTGAAACTCAATTTTATTCTCATTTAAATNTGTTGTTTCTTTAAGACTTTATTCAATTCATCTGTAAGATTTTGATTTCACAATTGTACCCAATTTATTTTCTGATCCTACTCTTTCCCAAACCACTAATAATCATTAAAAAAATTATTATCTCCTTAAAATATTAAATAAGGTTACATTTAAAATGCTCACTTAATTGGGCCATCTTTGGATAAATCCTTCATGACTTGACCCTAGGAGGTTGATCCTATAACTTTCCATTAAAGATAAATGCAAGCAAAAAGATCAAAATGAGAGAGAGAGAGGAGTAACATACCTTGTATAGATCAAAATGATCAAAAGAAAGATGGGTGCATTGTGAATATGAAGAAGGAAGCAAAAGAAAGAGTTGGGTACAAAAGGAATATATTTGACGGTTTGGTTGGTTAATAGTTAAAATTAGCGCAAATTATGCCCAACCAAAGGTGGCAATGGTTGTGGGAGGCTGGCTATATATAGCTAGTTACTCTTGCACCATTTTCAACTCTTTTTGAGGTGTAGAGTTTTTTTCTCGAGAAAAATTCTCACCCTTCAATGTCATAATTAGGTCGATCAGGCCAAATCATGAGTGCATAGAAAATCGGAAATGTATATACCAAAATATACATTGAAAAAATTTAAATCCTTTTCTTTTGGATTGAAATCTTTTCCGATAATTTTTTTATTTTCATCAATGATGTGTTAGTAGGGGCCACTTATATCTAACGGGTCATACTTGTGATCTACCAATAAAAAAATTGACAGTA